ACATTATTCAAGTACACGTTCAGTATTGTAAATACTTCACTCTTACTTTTAGCTGCTGTTTGAATGAACTTTGCTTTTAGTTGTTTATGTTTCATTGTTTATCGTCATTATGTTTTGTGATAATAAATTCCAGCGACCTCTGTGTAACAGTCTGTTTCTCAGATTCGTATGTCTGGATTTTTTGTTTATTTTGTTTTCATCACAACTCACATTTTGCTATTGCACCTCATATGTATAAGGACCAATGGCACACATGAACATGGATACATATGCAGTTTTTGTAATTTGTTTTTGTATATTTTAAAGTAAAAAAAAAAACATTCTGAGTACATAGTTGGTGTGACTATTTTTTATAAACAACATGTAAAAGTTTAACTGTGATTATTGTCACAGCAAACAAAGCTGTGACGTTGACAATCCTGTTGTTTTGGTTGCAGCATATCTGGTTTTATGGCTTTTCTGTGTTCCTTAATGCTCCTCTTACACTGACATGTTGGCATCAGCCTGACAAATGTGTAATGAGATAAACATATAGAGGCACACACACTTCCAACCCCCTTCAGCCACCATGACGGGAAATCAAGTGCCCCTTAATAAACAGAGGATAAGACAGAATAAATATTAAATATGTCTGATAAGCTTAAAGGATCAGTGCCTGCTGGTGAATGCGGGTCTGCTGTGAATTTAATAATTTGATGCAGGAAAAGTCATGAAAAGAAAACAGCTGGTGTTGTTTGAAACAAAAACTCTTCATCTCACACTGTCCTAGATGACTCTGCTATTAATCATCACATTCATTCTGTTTCTTCCAAAATAACAATAATGTGGTTTTATTGTACTGTTTAGCCATCGTTCTGTAAGTGTGCTGCATATATAAACCAACATAATAACAGTTTTAGATTTCTGTATTATTTAAAACTCCTGGTTTAATAATCTGAGGAAGATAAGAAAATGATCCCTGGAGGACAAAGGAGTAGCCATTAATCTTTAGATTATGTTTCTATTTGTTTTGGTCCAATATTACATCATTGCATTGGGAACCACTCATATTAATGAAATGCCATTTGTACACTCAGAATAATAAGCCCCACCAGGGAGCTACTTTATATTCCTAAATTCTGTGTTTTGTTCTTTTTCTGTGTTTTCCCCTTTGCTTTATATTTTTGTTGTTTTATTGCCTTAATCCTCGGGCCGTGTATCAGTCGGATCTTCTGTAAAAGCAGCGAGAGCAACAGCTCATTACAGACAACACGGAGCAACAAAAAGCAAAATGAGATTGAAGTAAGCTGATTTCAGATTTAAACTGAGCAACTCCAATTTGTTTCTCTTCTATGAGGCAGCAGCGCGTTTCACGAAAAAACAAAACCATCTGCCCTCCACACATTAGGTGGTTTGTGAACGGTTCCATCACTGAGAGAGCGAAAATATGTGAGGGATTAGAATCATCAGTGAGTCACAGTGGTGACGTGTGTCCAAAGAAAACAAGTTGGTCATTATAAAGCAGCATCAGAAAGGTCATTCCCACCCTGAAGCCACCGGTCCAATCAAACCAGGAAGATATTTATTTTTGCAAAATCCATGAGCCAATCAGAAACGGGGCAGAACAGGTCTGAAATAAATCTCCAGGATTTTAGATGTTCAGTTGTGAATCTGTGGCAGCGTTTGTGCGACTTGTTGTCATAGATGATCTTTTCTGTTGTTGAATCAGCATCGAGGGATTAGTTAGTGCCAGAAAAGCTTTTCTGGTTGCCAGCTTTTATTTCCTTATCGATGAAAACAATATAAAAAGAAAAATACAAATAAACAAACCATGTGTTCCAAATTGTAACTTGCTTATTCACAAGTTTTTTAATTATTTGCCAGAAAAGAAACAGAGGATGTATCTGGTGAGACACTTGTGTGACTGCTGGGAACATGTTGTTGGACAGAATTAAGATCATTCGGGTTTAAACACTAACAGGATTGATTTTAAGATTGTTTTACTTGACTTTAACCACTTTGAACAGCAAACTGTTGGTAAAACCTCTGTGAAAATATTAGACACTTGGATTCTGAGTTCTGTCCAGGGTGAGGCTGCTGTAGTTAGCTCTGGCTTCACTTGTTTTCACCTTTGAACTAACTTCTTTTGGCTTTTGGAACTGTTTTATATTATCATTATTTTCCCAAAATAAATAACGTTATATGCAAAAATTAATAAAACGTTAAGCAAACCTTTATTCCACAT